AAATAAATAAACTAAAAAAAAAAAAAGTATCAAAAGAATTTACATACCAAGAATCTCAGAATCCCTTGCCTTGCTATGTCCATGATTTTGGGATGATTATATAACGATCCCTATTTAATTTTAATTAAGCTCTACATTAAAAGATCTGCTTTAAATAAAACTTCAAAAGTCTCCTAAGTATCCTGAGTTTGCCCTTTCCTTTCTGAGAAAGTATTAGTTGAGACTATGACTTTGTTGAAGTGGTATTCTCCCATATCATATGTGACATAACATTTTTAAGAAATATACATTCATTCATAAGACCAAAATATATTTCAGATATATTTAAGAATGTTCTTAAATACATATTTATTTATTAAATACATATTCTTAAATATATATATTTATTTGTTAAATATATATATTCTTAAATATATATATTTATTTGTTAAATATATATATTCTTAAATATATCTGAGAATACCTCAGAGCCTTAAGACGAAATGAGTATCTTATTACTAATCATGGTGACTTTTGGACCCCACCCTAAGGCAGGGGGGCTGGTTTCCAGGAGGACCATATGATTTTTCATGTGATTAAAGGGTTGGAAGTTTCAGGTGCACCTGGGCGGCTTAGTTGGTTGAGAATTCGACTCTTGATTTGGCTCAGGTCCTGATCTCATGGTTTGTGATTTTGAGCCCTGCATCAGGCTCTGTGTGGACAGTGCAGTGCAAAAAGTAACGGGTTGGAACTTTCAGTCCCACTCCCCTAACCTCTGATGTTCAACCTCTGGCCAATGAATGAGTCAATAATGACTGTGTAATAAAGTCTTGAAAAAACCCAAGAAGAAGAACTTTTTGGGCCTTCTTTTACAGAGAGCTTCTGTCCTGGGAAGCTGGAATGCTTCCATGTCCATGGAGCCAGGCCCCACGCTCCACAAGAACAGAAGCTCCTTTTTTCTGGACCTTGCCCTATGTTTCTCTTTATCTGGTTATTGATTTGTATCCTTTATCATATCTTTAAATAAACTGGTAAATGAAAGTAAGTGTTCCCCTGAGTTCTGCCAGCCACTCTAGAAAATTAATGGAACCTAAGGAGGAGGTCACTAGAACTTCTAACCTGTAGCTGGTTGGTCAGAAGCACAGGTAACAGCCTGGGGCTTGAAAATGGCACCTGAAGTGGAATATGGAAGGCAGTCTTGTAGGACTAAATCCTTAAACTGTGGAATCTGATGCTATTTATGAGTAGATGGTATCAGAATTGAGTTGGAGTCTCGGACATTCTGTTGGTTTCTGAATAGTGCTTGGTGTTGTGTGTGTGTGGACACTCCCATCGACTTGGAATTGTGCTGGGAACCCTAAAAGACCACAGGAAGAATAAACTCAGGTTTATTATCAACAGGTTGTTTTGATGACATTTTTGAGGAGCCAAAGGAAAGTTCTTACTTAGAAAAACATTACCAAAGTTAACTCCTTCTTGGATAATTCTAGACAAATTCCAAGTCCTAAATCTTAGAAGTTAAGTTATAACTCCTTTCCTTTCACTAGGATCTATTGATGATGTTTTGACAAATTTCTATATATGCTAAAAAAGAAGTTGATTGTAGGCATATCTTGTTTTACTGTATTTCACTTTATTATGATTTGCAGATACTGTGTTTTGTTTTATTTTTGGTTTTTAACAAATGCAGGGTGATAAAAATATGGCAACCCTGCATCAAGCAAGTCTACTGGTGCCATTTTTCCAACAACATTTGCTCACTCCAGGTCTCTATGTTACACTTTGGTAATTCTCTCAATATTTCACGCTTTTTTCATCATTATTATATTTGTTTTGTTTTTTTTAAAATATTTTATTTATTTCTAGGAGAGAGAGAGAGAGAGACAGCGTGAGCAGGGGAGGGTCAGAGAGAGAGCGAGTCACAGACTGAAACAGGCTCCAGGCTCCGAGCTGGCAGTCAGCACAGAGCCCGACGCGGGGCTCGAACCCACAAACCGTGAGATCATGACCTAAGCGAAAGTCGGACGCTTAACCGACTAAGCCACCCAGGCGCCCCTCATCATTATTATATTTGTTATGGTAATCTGTGGTCAGTGATTACAACTCACTGAAAGTTCAGAGAATGGTTAGGATTTTTTAACAATAAGATATTTTTAAATTAAGGTATATACATTTTTTTTTTAGATATAAGGCTACTGCCTATTTACTAGCCTATGGTATAGTATGAACATAACTTTTACATGCACTGGGAAATAAAAAAAAATCCATTTGACTTGCTTTTTTGTGATATTTCCTTTATTGTGGTAGTGTGAAACCAAATCTATAATATCTCTGAGGTATACTTGTATGGTTTTCTTCACCTTGACTACATTTTGGAAATGTTTTCCTCGAGAATAGGCAATTCAGTAAATAAATGAAAAAATGATTACAGTTACCTTGCCTACAGAGAACTCAGAGAACATGTCATAGAGGAGCTCACACTTGAACAGAGTCTTGAAGGATAAATAAGAGTTTTCTAGAGGGGTGCCTGGGTGGTGCAGTTGGTTAAGTGTCTGACTCCTGATTTGGCTAGGGTCATGATCTTGTGGTTCATGGGACTCAGTCCTATGGGATTGATCATCAGGCTCTGTGCTATTAGTATGGGATTCTCCCTTGAGATTCTCACTCATCCTAGCTCTCTGTACCTCCCCTTCTTGTGCTCTCTCTCTCTCAAAATAAATAAATAAACCTTAAAAAATGTTTTCTAGAAAAACAAGGGGAACGGATAATTTAAACAATGGGGGAAAGAGTCCAAAAGAATAGAGACAGAACAAAGCATGAAACTAAGGGTGATTAAAGCAGACTAAGCAATGAGATATCGAAATTAAGAAGTTCAGAGGTATAACAGCTCATGATGATGAAAGAGTTTGGGGTGTGGCTATGGGCATAACTATGACTTATTAAAGTGGTGTTGAAAGGAAAGATCTTAAACTTATAGAGAGGTTACAATGTTGGATGGGCTCTCTACATGGATCTAAATGGCTATATAGACCATGTACATGACTATGACATCAGGAAAACCTGGACCACTGTGATGTCTATCTAAAGTGATTACTAGTCTATAAGCCAGTAAGAACATAACTGAAATGAAAGACAGTTCTAACAACAGAAAAACCCATGATAAAGGTATAAGAGGATTCAAAGAAATCTGTTGTAAGAAATTATTTTTGTTCTTTTTTTTAAAAATTTTTAAATGTTTTATTTATTTCTAGGAGAGAAAGAGAGAGAGACAACGTGAGCAGGGGAGAGTCAGAGAGAGAGGGAGTCACAGACTCTGAAACAGGCTCCAGGCTCTGAGCTGGCAGTCAGCACAGAGCCCGACATGGGGCTTGAACCCACGAACCGCGAGATCATGACCTAAGCCAAAGTCGGACGCCCAACCGACTAAGCCACCCAGGCGCCCCAGAAGTTATTTTTGTTCTTAACCATTATAATCACTATCAATGGTCCATCATAGTCTCAGGGTCAACAATAAATGGAAATTATATGGTAATCGTCATAAATGTCATTTTTAAAGTTCATTTATCTGTATAGTTTTATTTTAGTAAATATTATATCATCACTCCACTGACTCCGGTTTCTCTCAACTTTAGGTCTTAGTAAAGGATTATAGAATGTTACATCTCTTCTACTAAAGAGCTTCCTCCGGGGAGCCTGGGTGGCTCAGTCGGTTGAGTGTCTTACTTCAGCTCAGTCATAATCTCAGGGTTCATGGATTTGAGCCCCGCATCGGGCTCTGTAGTGACAGCTAGCTCAGAGCCTGGAGCCTGTTTCAGATTCTGTGTCTCCCTCTCTCTCTGACCTTCCCCTGCTCATGCTGTCTCTCTTTCAGAAATAAATAAAAACATTAAAAAAAAAAAAGAAAAAAAGAAGAGCTTCCCTCAGAGTCACTTGTCTGTCATACGTTGTGGAAACTTACAGTGGTACACCAGTTAAACACGTCTGCTTGAATTTATTTTTTACAGCTCTTTACAAAGGTTCTGGGCAAACAAATGCAGTGTGCTTGCCTACCAAATCAAGGGTTTCAAGCTTAATGTTAACAGATTCACAACACAGAAATGGGAAAAATTTACACTAAATAAAACATGCATTTTTATCTGTGTGAAGTTCTCCAATTAGTTTTGTAACTGTTAAATAATATAGATATTCTACTGGAAAATCATCCTGTTTATTAAAATTCTCAGTCGTGTAGGTATGCTACAGATCCATTTAGTTATGGTCGACCTGTACTTCATTTCTTGATAAAGATTAGGGAGAAAACAGGATGATTATCATTAATTTTAAGTGAGAGAGTACAATATTAAATTATTAGCATTTATATAGTACTTTTTTCTTAGGATTCCAAAACTTTAAAGGCACAACCTCCAATGTTACATCATTTCAAGGATACAGGTAAGGAAAAGCTATTTACAGTTCCTTTTTATAAGACAGAAAAATGAGTAAAACACAAAGTTAAATGACTTCCAAGTTAATGTTATTAGTGATCAAACAAAAAAAATAAAATTAAGATTTCTTCATCCTTGTTTCATGGCACTATGTTCTAAACCATGCTGCTTGTGAAAGTAGGATATATCAGGAATGAATTTATAAAATGATTACAACTCCTCTTGAGAGTCACTTGCTTTTTTTAAAGTTAGATTCTTCTAGTGGATTTATATTATTACTTTCAGTTAATCTGTTTTCAAATAATTTTCGGCAGTGGGCAGTTAAACAGGGTTCTCATCATAGAATCACTGAGGAACTCATCACTACCTTAATTAGAAGTGCTAGCAAAATTCTGCTGTCAGCTTCCAGAAATAATTGGAATGAGGGAGATATTCATTAATATATTGATAATATTCTTAGGAGGTAAAAACCCTAACATTTATGTAAACTGCGCCCAAATGCTCTTCTTCATTCTTTCACCAAAATATTTTTAAGCTCTCCTTCCTGTTGAACCACAGTCTTATTCAGTAGTCCATCTGAAATGATGACATACTTACTGGCTCTGAGAATGTTCTCCTTGCTGCTGCACCTGGACTGGACCTGCAAAGAGAGCATAAACTCAGTAATTTAGGGCTCAAAACACAGATAGCCAGAGATGCATGTATAGTTAATGGGCAAGCTCCTGAGGTTTAGGAGCAAAGGCTCAATATATCTCAGATATCATAACATAGTAGTTAAAATATATTACATGTGTTCCCTATTTTTTGTCTTTTTCTTACTGTAAAGAAAGCAGACTTCTGGAAAAAAATTGGGGGTACAACATTATAAATGGGACAGAGGCAAAACCAAAGGCAATTTTTTATTGATGTATATTGAAATTAGTATATGGAAAAAAATGTTACAACATATTCAGGTATGAATACAGACCCTAATCTCAAGGCACTGTGATAACTGTTGACTAGACTAATAATGCAATTCAGGTAATAAAGTTATAGTAAAATATTTCATTGTAGTAATTTTAGTTATACACATTGATAAAGGGAAAAGAGAAAAATCCTCATATATAGTATTTATGTGTGATTCCAATGACTTTTGCTACTTATTGATTATAATAATTGGTTTTATTATAATATTGGCTATGAGAGATGCCTTGGGAATCAATAAAACTGAACTTATTTACTTACTCATCTATTCTTGGGTATGAATAGAGTTTATCAATCAGAAACCCTTACAGTTTGATTCAAATAGTTGAGGTCAAAGTAGAACATTCTTTTAAATGTTACAAAAGTGTTGAATTCAAGAGCCACATTGGATGGCATCAATGTTTGTTAATATCTGAGGAAACTGTATTTAACTCACACCTCTTTTTTTCCCACTCCGCAGCAGCTTGCCCCAAATGGATATATAAACAACAAATTAATTTCTATTGCTTAACACAATCTACTACTGTAATGAAACAACTTATGAAAGAAATGTTGTAACTTAGGGTGGGTTATGGTTGTCCTTCCCTGAAAAGAACAATTGTTAATGTTTAAAGAAACAACAACAATAAAAAAAATCACAAACATACACAGAAGAAACACACACACACACACACACACACACACACACACACATCAAAAAAAGGGAAAAAAAGGGAAAAATAATTCCAGATGTTAAAGTTATTCCCTTTTGGCCCAGATTGTTTAATTAGTTTCACACTATACTAGAATGAAGAAGGTAATTTGGAAAATAATATCCTTATATTCTTTTACTCAGAAGTTTTATTGAAAAACAATTATGGACCAAATGGGAAAGGAAATTAATTAATGACTACTTAAAACAAAAATACAGAGAGGAAGACAAGAGAGTGAGAAAAAGAAAAAGAAGAAAAGAGAGGTTTGGGGAAGTAAGTCTAGACAAGAGAAAAGAAAGTATGTGTTTATAGAAGGGGACAATATGTGAATGCAAAATGTTCTGTTATTTCTTATTGAAAATTCATAGTAACGGTAAGAATCTCTAATGAACTTGCTGCAAAATAAAGAAGCAAGTTTGCAAACCACGGAATGAAAATAGGTATAACTATACCACTACAGTCTTAAAGGAGAAAAGAAGCAAGACAAATTAATAGACAAGCTTAATAAAGAGATAAACTACATTTTAAAAAGCAGTTCAGAGAACACAAGAGAAAGCTAACAGAGTGAGAGAAAAATCTGGGAGAGAAGGAAAAAAAAGGGGATAATGTTGAAAGACAAAAACAGAGTTGAAGGAAGTCAAATGGAAGTCAAGAAAGTCTTCAACAAGATGTAGAAACAGAAGGAGCCCAAACCCATAGCGCAAAGCAATGTTTGCGAATGGAAAGCAGCTCCTTTGATCAGTAATAGTTACTCTTAAGTCGTAGCCTCTATTCCTCCAGAGTTCATCTTTAAGCCCTTCCAATCTAGAGTGGAGCTAGTGTGTGGATAGAAACAAGAGATTTACAATGAACAGAGCAGTTCAGATGAGTAGTTCAAATTGTCTCATCAAATGTTTCAACAGATTTATATAAGGTCTAAATGGAAATGGTGGTGAAGAACTAGCTAGCTTTACCAAAAAGTTGAACCAAACCAAAACAGCAACAACAACAAAAAAACCCTCTTCCTGCCTTAGGTGGCTTAAAAAAATAAAAAAAATTTGTTCATAGGATGAATTTAATAATGAAACCCAAAGTCTTGTTTTGTGGCACCTGAGTTCAAAACTATATATTTCAGTTTTGGAGGAGAAATTCGGGTGATAAGAAACAATTCAGTTTCTGGAATGTGAGTATTCATTTCAGTTCACAAACTGCCAACAGCAGTATAACCAATGTTTTCTCATTTATATTACATTGGCTATTTGACCTAGATTTGAGGGTAATCCTTTAAAATCAATGATTACATGAACTTCTTTATTTTGGTGATCTTGAGTATATATTTAAAAACTGAGAAAATTAATATCAAGACATAAATATTTACCTGATCTTATATAATCCCAATATGAAGATTTTACCTAACTAACAATGTAATGGGATTTACTTGAAAGAATAAAATCAATAAACAATGGCTGTTCTTGTTCTCATATATATGGACTAGAAGGAAGGTAGCACAGGTCTATTCCAAGTTTTATAGTTTACGGTTCTTTTTTTTTTTTTTTTAAATCTTACCCTGGCTTTTTAGTCAATGGAAAAAAAAACAAAAAAACAGAGGGAAGTCTGAAAAACAAAATAAAACTGAGATTTTGACCTAATACTAAATTTGCTAGAGATTAAAAATGAAAAGTATGGTGTTGGATTATCTATTACTTTATTTTATTGGATTATGTTATTTTACTACAATTAACATGTAACTTTATGGTGTTGCCAATTAACCCCCTTTCAACTGGAATTAAACTAAAATCATGTGTAGAAACAGCATTATTATATTACAGTCAATGGAGGAAAAGAAAAACACAAGAGACTTACTGAAAACATAGGTATTCATTTACTAATCAAGACTGCTTTCAGACATCAAATAATTCATTTAATTCATTTCAACATGTGTTTACATGTGTAATATAAATTTTGCTGAAGATCACACTGTTCAGTAAGGAATCTTAAGCCATGAAACAGAAAACAAAAGGAGGGAGAGCATGTAATAAATGGTAAGGAAAAAAAGTGAAAATGCTCTAAAAAAAGCTGAGAAAATTTTAACAAACAACCACAGTCTTTAAATACAGTTAGAGAAGTGACTTACCTTATGCTTAGGTCATAACAAGAATAGCACAGTGTTTAAAGTCAGCTCTTCATTATGGGAGGTACAATTGAAAGCCATAGGTTATAATAACATGAATTGCTACACAGAAATGAAGACTTTTTCAGCCCAACATGAAAAGCTAACTCTTATGGGAGAACATTTCAACTTATGTTTAATGCAGCATGAAGAACAACTGAAGGGGTAAACATCAAAACACATGAATCTCACACCAATAAGAGAGATAGTCCAATCTCTCAAGAACACAGAAAATTTAATCTGTGACTAAAGGGAAGGCACATCACTCTAACACTGAAAATGCATGCATAATGTATAACCATCCACTGACAAGTCTCCCCACCCCAACCCACTCATACATACACAAAACCATTAAGATACAGGGAAAAAATGTAGTGCCAAGCTGTTATGAAGAAAGCAGGACACACGGAAGCGCAGCAGTGGTCATGTGATTTGAGAGGTGTTCTTCCCTTAAACCATCCCATCACCATGCTTATTTCAAAGAAGCCAGGAAAAGACCCCCTTCAATGCTGCAGTAGCTATGAGCCCCCAGCTTGAAGCTAGTGTGTGGAATTTTGATCACCGTTCCCTGCGATGTCAGGGGCTCTCCAGTGGAAGCCAGATGTGAAACACCAGTTAGTGGGGTACAATGTGTGAATAACAAACATCCTTTCCCTTCTGCATTTCACAGAAGTGAGAGAAGAGAGAAACAAATAAAGCCCATGTTAAGACTAGGTTCATAACGATATAAAGATGTATAAATATTAAAATGGAGATTACGTTTGATTGCAGGTTAGCACAACTCAGGTTACATAAAAAAGCTGCCTTGATTTTACTGCTCACCAGGCTAATTTGTATTCTTTCTCCTTGCAAATACTAGGAATAAATCTATATAATATGGCTCATACTGAAAACCTGAGCAGTTGGTCAGATGCGGTCGAAGTCAAGAAATAAAGAAGTTGTCTTTGATGGACATTAAGAAAACCCTCTCTTTCTATTTTTAGCATCATTTTCCTGGCCAGCAGTCACATTTTAAATTAGAAATTAAGCTTCTGTGTATCTGCTTACTTTGGTAATTTGAGAAATTCTATGGCAATGGTTTAGAAAGACAATTTAAATTTTAATCTTCTTACATTTTAAAAGACAAACCACAACAAAGATTACCTATTCAGAAATTGTTGTGGTGCCTGGGTGGCTCAGTTGGTTAAGCATCCGACTTCGGTTTAGGTCATGATCTCACAGTTTGTGAGTTTGAGCCCTGCATCAGGCTCTGGCTGACAGCTTGGAGCCTGGAGCCTGCTTCAGATTCCGTGTCTCCCCCCGCCGCCCTTCCTATGTTCATGCTCTGTCTCTTTCTGTCTCTCAATAATAAATGAACATCAAAAAAAAAAAAAATAGAAATTGTAAACTAAGTTTCCTATGTACTCTTCTTTACTGTTAATAAAACTTATTTTAACATGGGCTGTTCCTGTCAATAATAGGGAAAACTTTAACTTTGCTTTCCTATTATCGATTATAGTAGTTAACTTCATCTATTTTTGATTTATGTGTGGCATGAAATTTAGAAGTTAGATTTGTAATAATCCAAAAATTATTTGCATTACTTATATTACCATTTCCTTTTCCTCATCTATTCTTAGAAGGCCAGAATATCCTGACCTTTCATTTAGCATGTCTTTATTATTTTAGGCTCTAGGCTCTCCTTTAATCTCCATTTTCTTATGGGGGAAATAAAGATTGTTAAAGGGCTCAAAGTAAATAAGACATGTATCAAGGATTTTAAGCTATAAAGGTAGAAACAAATGTCAGTTATGATGTTATGATCAATGGAGGTGCTGACAGTTGTAAAATAACTGT